AAACTGTTATATTTTGTTGCAATAAGTACCTTTTAACCGCAAATTTAACTGATTTTTGAAGCAATTTAATTACTAAATAGTGGAACTCGAAATCTCAGCATTGTGGAATGAACATTTCAACTACATTAACTCGTGTATTTACTTTACAATCTGGATAAAACTCACCTTAATTGAAATAACAAAGTGTCCACCATTCTTCAAGAAGTGTTGGGCGTTCAGACTGACTATTCTAGCTTGGTCGGGTTGGGCAACATCAGCAAATATACAGTCGACCATGCCAACAAGCATTCTGAAAGAAACAAGAAGACAATATAGCAATCTGTATGGACTTGGAGGAGAATTGAAGACGTTAGATAGGATCAGAGAGAGAGTTCAAATTATTTCAACATGAAAAATTTAGCTAATAGAAATCATCATATTAGATCACATACATAAAGTAGCGGTTTTGTATAAAAATGCACTACATTTTGAAGAAACATGCATTACTCAAATATTGTTGTTTTAATTTATTGTAGTGATTGGATTATTTCCTTCATAAAACATTGATATTTACCTGTATTTCAGTGGATGTCTGGCATCCTCTATAATTGGGATAATATTTGTCCTCTTTTTGGCTACATTTATCAGGTCCCTGCCCGATCTGTGTGAGAATTCTACTGCATATACTAATCCTTCCTGGGAAATAGAGAATAAGAAAAAAAAGTTAATAAAATGTTACAAAAATTAAAATTTTAGGGTGAAATTGAGAAATAACAATCAGAAGTGGGTATGTGGACATAGTCTTCATGAATAGGTCTAGATTAGAGGGACCACAATCATCATTTTAGGTGTAATTTCAGTTAAGTACATGATAAGATTAGGTAGTTTCATATTTGTTTTATGTACTTTATGAAGTTCTATTTACACGCTAATCAATACTGATCTGATCTTGTAAAAACCAATAAAATATGTTTACAATTACCAAAAATCTTATCATAGGTCATCATTTAATCAGCGAACCCTTAAAAAACTATAAAAACTTCAACTTACCGGTCCAACGACATCAGAGACGTGACTGACTGTGGTACCGCTGGCGGCACCGAGATATAAAACCCTGGAGCCAGGTGGCATGTGTATGGCATCCACACCACCCATAATAGCTGCTGCTAACTTTGATCTGAACGGATTCCATACTCTGTATTCTACCTTTTCTCCGTCGTTCTGTCAAAAGGAGTAACTTATGGTTAGTGGGGGTATGTTTAAGGGGGTTTGGGGGTATGTATGGGGGTAAATCAGAAGTGGGTATGTGGACATAGTCTTCATGAATAGGTCTAGATTAGAGGGACCACAATCATCATTTTAATGTCTAGTTTTACTATAAAAAAAATATATGACCTTGTTTCTTTTGGCTTTCATACACAACATCAAAGATTTTATTGTAAAGTTTGAAATATAAGTTCTTTAGTATTACTTAAGTTTTGTATTGTCTTTATTTATGAAACGAGATTCTATTTTCTCTGCAGATTAATTCTTCAGTTAACATTTTTAGTATAATTATCATTTTAACTGAACTCTAAAGCTAATTCTCCTCAATATTAGTACCGAAAAAACAGAATAAAATACAAACCTCAACTGATATTCTTTTCTCTCCGTATACTTCTGATCCAGGCACCAAATTCTTTGTTACTAGAGCATCTTCTTTGCCTCTTGCGATGAATACTCCGGGATGTCTATAACAAAACAGCTCAATTTAGCTTTGAGAGGCACAAATATGCAGTTTTTTCTTTCGAAATAGTGATCAGTATAGAATGTTGGCTTCAAGCGTACGCTTTCAGAAGAACGAAAGTTTATAATAACATCATTTCAGTTCATTGTGTGTAGATTATCAAATGACCTAATTGAGATAAGAAATGCCACATGAACCTATACAAAACCAGTTAACTATGGCCTTTTTGTTAATGGGGGAAAATTATTGAATGACTGTTCCCATCTGGGTGAGTCGGGAGGGAGTGTAAGACTCTTACTGACAAAAACCTCTCCTGCACATTGAGCCGGAGCCCCGATAACCATCTTTCTGTACATTCAGCGGTCTGTTTACATTAGTTTTGCATAGCTTCATGTCGAGCAGTACGTATACATGGTAATTTTATAGTACAAAATGACTGAGACCATTATTTGTATAATTTATAGTATCTAAGAGATCTTACAATGTAAGTCTACAATAATGAATACCATGAACATTAATAGTAGGCCTGAAATAGATCTAATTTTCTCAAGATTAAGGTACATACCTGTGTGGTTCAATAATAACTTGTTTGCCTCCCTTGAAGCCACCACCGCCTCTACCACGGCCACCACCAGGGCCTCCTCGACCACGGCCTGAAAATAGACAGTTATTAGTAACAAGGTTAAAACAAACAAAATTATATGTTATACTGTCTGTCTGTGCAATCAGAAGTGGGTATGTGGACATAGTCTTCATGAATAGGTCTAGATTAGAGGGACCACAATCATCATTATGATTTTATAGCACAAGTAATGTTGTATAAATTAACATTGGCTGAACAATGTGTGAAATCTGTTATTGAGAAATCAAATATTGGTTTAATTGTCTATTGAACTAAAAATTTTATTATCACTATTTGCTTTCTGAATGAAAATAATTCATCTACTTCACAACATTATGATTATGCTGCGGTTTATTGCAGCCAATGACAACATATACAACAGATCACATAAACAATTTACGATCCTTACCTCCTCCACGGCCGCCACCGGCGCCTCGTCCACCAAAGCCTCCTCTACCGCCGCCTCCCCCTCGGCCTCCAAAACCACCACGGCCTCCGCCTCCGCCACGACCACCTCCGAATCCTCCACGACCACCGCCTCCCCCACGACCACCTCCGAATCCTCCGCGACCGCCGCCGCCACGACCTCCGTTAAATTCTGAAAATTGTACACATGTCAATCTTTGTATAATTCACAAATAATAATTCATGATAAACCATGTCCATGATATGCTAACAATATTCAATGGGATCTGAACATGAACTATAGCGTGGCACATGGTATTTTTAAAACATAAGAACCTGTGGACATTTTAAGAGGTTAGCATCTTTATAGTGATCATTTCACATCCACATGTATTTTAAACCCTCATCTGGGCGTTACTCGAAGTCCTATTCAATCACTGATAACTTTTTCCTTTTAAAATATTGATAGAGAAATAATATAACTTGTAGCCTATGAAGCAATAAGTTTTTTACATATATAAACAATAGGTTGACGCTTGGCCACCATCTCACCTGGTGGTAAGCCCTTGTGAAACCTAAAAATGTTGTGCATTGAAATGTATTATTACCGAAGCATTGAGACATAAGACTCAATGTCATAATTCCATTGTCCAAATAAATAAATAATTTACAACTGTTGTGCAACAGATAAACTTGAGTGAATTCGGAAGCACATACTAACAACATGTTCAAGCCATTCCAGGTTGCATCAGGTGCAACAGAAACTTGTTAGCAAGTAAGTAATGCAATATGGTATCAGGTTTCACACTGGGTAACATGACATGTTATTTTTTTGATAAGAGAGTCAAATAACTCATATTTCATAGCTACATGACAAACTGAACTGAACACAGTTATTATACAATAATTATACAGGTTGGTGAATACATTTGGCACCTGTATTGGGTAAACAATGTTTGATTAACCTCATTTTGTTCAAGGAGGTTAAGTTAAAGGAGTTTTGTTTTGAGAAATAATTCATCAAAAGGAAACACTATGTCTGGTTGTTTGAAGATTTTACAAATGTAATAGACTGCAACTTGAGCTAAATAAGCAGTGGTTCAAATGCCACGTGGTGATAATATTATGACATCCAAAGACCAACAAGTGCATAAACAAATACACAAAATCAATTATTCCTGAACTGGCATAACAAGGCAATTTTAATAAATAACACGTATACATTACGAACAACTTCTAGATTAGCAGAATAGTCCCTAGTTATGCGTACTTGCAATGAAAAAGTTAGGTTCATAAACGCATGGCGCCGGCGTGGTAACGTATTAAAAATAACGTTAACAACTTTAATTAAAAGATTTAGCGCGTGAAAATTCATAAGACACGTTTTTAAAGGACGTTCAAGGTTTTGGGAACCATTTCAATGAATAAAATATCACACAAATTGAAAAATCAAGGTTACCGATTTGAAACTAACCTCAAAATCAACACGTGAAAACGGCGTCTATTTGCAGTTTACAGGGTCTAAACAGTTATTTGATGTGAAAAGATGTCAACAATATTGATTATTCTAATGTTTTATAGATGTTACGGATAATTTAAAGAAATACCACACGCGGGGTCACTGAAAATACATGTGCTAAACACCGAAAACCACAAGTGAAACGTTATATAAATGAAAATCTTACCTGGCTTTCCCATTTCTTGTGTAACTTACTCCAAAAACTAATACTCTTGTATTTAAACAATAATCTTTAGCTATCTAAACACAAATATGTACGATAATTTCTTCATAAGCCGCGCGGAGCCATCACACCGCGCAGCCGTCCACGGAAATGACGCCATTCGAAAACGAAGTGATGGAAATGGAACGGTGTTGCTGCATTTTAGAAATAGTGTTGCAAGTTAATGAATATAAAATGTTTCGTTCCACTTTTCTTTAATTTTAATTTAAAATTAAAAAGTACCTAATTAATGAAATATAAATAAACTATTTAAAAAAATTGGACAACCAGCGCCATCAAATTATCTGCAGCATGGCCTTTTAGTTATTCGCTAGCTTTTGGCTTATATCAGATTGTTTTTTTTTCATGTCAGCATTTTGTACTACATCTAAAGTTTTATAATCTTTAGAAACCAAGTAAAATAAAGTTGTTTTTTACTAATGTCAATGCATTAATTTGCATTTATATTTACATTTATTGACTCTGCCAACAAGCAATAAATTATTATTATAGGTCAAATAGATACTATTTTATGACAGATTTGGCAAAACAATCATTTATCCGGTACGGCCGGCAACAAAGTTTCAGGATGTTATTGAAATGAAGTGTTATTTTATTCGATAAGATAAAAACACTTATGAGCACTGCACAAAGAAGATACAATATAAATAAGGGGAATTGATCATTATAAAATATTTCCTCGATTTATTTGACACTTGACAGTCAATTATTTTTCAACGTCCTTGATATCATCAATTAAAGTTATTGTAACTAAAATGGATTCAAGTAAATACAGTGAAATCAAACTCAGCGATTTTAAATGGGTAAATGAGCCTAAGAAATGGCGAATCAGTGACAAAGACCTTGAAGTGACGACAGATGAGAAAACTGATTATTGGGAAGGCACTTGGTATAATTTCCATCATAATTCAGGCCATGTTTATGGAGTAGAAATTAAGGATGACTTTACTTTCACGGTACGTTTCTTGTGACCATGTTATTTATTTATCATCATTAGTATAAACTCTCGACAAGTAAAACCAACTTCTAAAAATAAATATCACAGATTAAAAAAAAGTTAACTAACAATACCAATAGATGGAGTTACCTGTACCGGTCGGCGAACTCTTGGCTCGAAATTCAAATACTTTTGATTTTTATTGATTTATTTTTTCTTTTTTCAAAAACTTTTTCTTAACATTATGAATGTGTGGGAAAGCCGGGTTTTGGCACGAATGGGCCGGCTGGACCAGAGTGGTACAGATAGATTATAGTAATCTGTGCACGACCTCACAGGGCACTAGTGTAAAACAACGTGTTATATTTCGCCATATGAGTGACGCTCAATCCTTCCCCTTCCCAATCCCCAAATCCCTTTAATCCTCAAAAAAGCCGGTATCTCCTCTGGTGTTGTTTGATGGGCACCGCCTTACCGTACCTTAGGTGAATTCAGGTGATCCGTCTAGTTGTTTGTCGACCGATCCCATAAAAAACAAACAACCAAAACTAACCACCTAGTTATTTGCATAGGTATAATAATTTCTGTGGTAGTATGCAACGTCCCGCGGCCGCTAACCGCATCAAAATAAGCAGATAATGTTTTGGCGTGTATACCTAGGTACCAACATAAACAGTTTAGCGATAATTATGTTATTTATAGATTATTGCCACGTTGTACGTTTCCGCGTTTCATTTATGACGTGTATAGCTTTGACGTGTTTCTACCTGGCCGATGTGGATGTCACTGGAGCTGGTTGAGGCTTGTTTTTTATGCCATATTTTTTTTTAATAAAACGATGGCCCACACTAGGATTTTCTCCTGTGTCGTGGGTGCGTTTACAAACATACAAGTTTACATACACATGATACCCAGACCCGGATCAACGATTTGTGGATCACACAAAGTGTTGTTCCTTGCGGGAATCGAACCCGCGACTCGTTGCACGGCAGCGGGTTGCCCAGCCACCGCACCAACCGTGCAGTCAGGACCGTATGGCGGTACAGGAGTAGACAAATCACTTGATGTTATGCAATCAAACCAAACGAAGAGTTAGTAGATAGTACGAACTACAAGTTCGTTACTGCCTTTTAGGGATTGGTTTGGGCTGTTTTGGGGATAGGGAACAGGGGTTGGGGGGGGGGACTTGGCCTACTGATAATCTCAGGGCTCGTACACAAAAAATTGCGATGCGAATTGCTGTGATGCGATTTCGTGCGACGAGCCGGACCATCCTTTCGACAACTGTCAACCGCACTAAACGTATTTTAAATTGAAAACTAGGTCGTGACATGGATTGTAAAAAGAAGTGTGCACTTCTGTTATTGCTTAGGAGATATAGGAAAAAGAAACAAAGAAGACATTGGGAAGATGCGAATTTGATGCGCGATGCAAACCGATTCGCAAGTTCTTGCGATGCGATGTCGCATCACAGTTTTGTGTACGAGCCCTAACTCATACGAGGCAAAACAATGTTTCTGTTTTCCACTATCGAGCCGGCCCATTCGAGTCGAAGCATGGATCTCTCAACGTGTACTGAGTACTTGTATTATAACTTTCGTGAGACATACTAAATATATTATTGTTTTCGGCTTACTCATGTAATAATTTGACGAGGAACTCGACTAGTTTCAAGCCATGCTAGAGGCTCATATTCATGAGCAGCATTTCACGACCCGCGACTGTCGCGCTGCTACTCATAGTAGTACACAGTAGTAGACATTATCACGAATATGAGCCTCTAGCATGGCTTGAAACCAGTCGAGTTTCAAAGCATTTATTTATTTCCTCGTCAAATAATTACGTGAGTAAGCCGAAAACATAATAATACATTGTGTACTGAGTATTTATTAACAACTAGCTTTTACCCAGGATAAAAAGTAGCCTATGTGACATATACCAATACACACAGCGCCATCTATACCAATACTTTTGTTTTCCCTCGGGAATACCAAATTTTTCCGGGATAAAAAGTACCCTATTATTTAATCCAGACTACTAACTTTACGTCTGCAAAAATTCAAAGCAATCGGTTTAGTAGTTACGGCGTGAAAGCGAAACAAACAAACAAACAAACTCACTTTCCCATTTAGAGGTATAATAGTATAAGGATAGTAAGGATAAGGACTAGTAAGGATGTACATACGTCTAATTGTAGCTCGTGTAATGATGTATGACGTGTTCCAGGTTTGCGTGGAAGCAGAGTTCAATACCTTGTATGACCAAGCAGGTCTAATGATATACTTCGATGACAAACATTGGCTGAAGGCTGGCATCGAGTACAATGATGGGCAGCCGATGATTAGCAGCGTCCTAACAAATGAGCTCTCTGATTGGGGCACAGGTACCTTTCCTCTATGTTCAAAACATTTAATGCTACTGACAGGGGCGTGCACAGAGATTTGAAGTAGGGTAGGCAGAATGTATCACATGATTGAAAATAAATTTGGACTGGATTAATATAAGAAAATAACATAACATAACATCACGCCTTTTATCCCCGAGGGGGTAGGCAGTGGTGCACATTACGGCAATTAATGCCACTATACAATGTAACACCCACTTTTCTATGTTATGTTATGAGTCCCATGTAATAGGGGGTGAGCCTATTGCCATATACCGGGCACATTTCCAGACTCCGTGCTACTACTGAGGTTTTTAAAAACCCAGTAATACTTTGCCCGGCACGGGAATCGTACCCGAGACTCCTTGCCCGGCAGTCGCACTTGCAACCACTCAGCCAATGAGGCAGTCGGATGTCGGAAAATAAAACTCCCGAAATATCATAATTTTGTGTTTAAGTACTAATTTGACGAGGAACTCGACTAGTTTCAAGCCATGCTAGAGGCTCATGTTCATGAGCAGCATTTCGCGACCCGCGACGCGGCGACTGTCGCGCTGCTACTAATGCAGAATATGAGCCTCTAGCATGAAAGAAAGAAAGAAAGAAATCATTTATTTGCTAATAATGTAGGTATACATATAAGTTGGAATAAAGTTAATTGACCCAGTACATTTTACCTTTCGGCATGCAAATTAAATTATAATGCGATCTGAATGTCGTCAAATACATAACTAGGTATACAGTCAAAATTTTAGAATAATGGCTTGAAACTAGTCGAGTTCCTCGTCAAATTACTATGTGAGTAAGCCGAAAACATAATAATTTATTTAGTACGTCTCACGAAAGTATTCGTGTATAAAGTTAGACCAATATCTATTAACTAGGCAAATGCTCCATCGTCTCACGCTGGTTGCTGATCATCCTCAAATCTAATAAAAAGCGGAGTTCGGAATTGCACATTTTACTTCGAATTTATTGCCAGTTTTGCCATTATCATAATTGTCAGTCCAATCCCACCAGTGGACTTTGGTGTCAGCTATAGCATACCAGGCCACCGAGTTCGATCTTCACATCTAACCACTACCAGCTTAGGGTAATATCGAGGAAACTTGAAAGAAAGAAAGAAATACCTACTCTTATTCGGTTTCAGATTAAATTAGTAACTCAACAAGTGTTTCCTTTTATTATGTTTCAGGTGTATTTGCTGGCAATCCGCGCAAGTTCTACCTGCGGATGTCAAGGAAGGGCGACGTGGCGTGTGTGAAGTACTCGACAGACAACGAGCTGTGGACGCTGCTCCGACTGTGCCCGCTGCCGCTGTGTGCGCGCGGCCCGTGTGTCGTGGGGCCCATGTGCTGCACGCCCACCAGACAAGGGCTGCACGTAAAATTCAGTGACATAAAAATCACCGTGCCAGCGGATGATATCCTACATTCTAACTGATGTGCTTTTAAACGTACCTACCTCCTTTTTGTAAATGCAATGCTGCAGTTTAATATGTACCTACTTCAAAAAAGGATGAGGTTATTTTCCATAGAGCATAGAGCATAGAGAGGTTATTTTCCGCCGGTGGCCCGTGTTGCTCTATGTTATTTTCAGATGATTTTTCTTTTTTTGTAAATGTGCTAAAGTTATATTTATGTAGGTATAATTATATTTTGATGAAATCGATACAATCAAGTCTAATATGTACATATGTTAAATAAACAATTTTAATTAAACAACTTGTTTATTCTTGAACGTAGGTACCCACAAACTACAAAACGTTTAACTAAATAAAAAAGAAACGTAGTGCATTAAAATACTAAGATCCCGAACTATAAGATTGCCTAGTTTAAAACTATCCTATGTTTCCGTCGCGGAGAACCTAACGGGTAACCGGGGCTCCGGCTCGACGTGCAGGAGAAGGAACGGGGTGGTTTTTAGTCAGTAAGAGTCTGACACTCCCTTCCGCCTCACCCAGGTGGGAGCAGTGATTCGATGATTTTCCCCCCTTAAAAAAAAATAAAAAAACCCTATGTTTCTCACTGAAAAGTGCGACTTCCAACGGTGAAAAGATTAATAGAAACGGCAATGATTAAAATTGGAACTTTATCATTTAAACGAGATGATAATCATATAAGAAATAATCCTTTGTTGTATCATTTGGCCCGTGATATGTTAAGATATTACCTCTATATTATCTAACAACAATCTGATACCCATCAGTAACACGTTGATTATAAAAACGTATACAATGACACGTCACATCCTTTGTATCTTCTGAATGTATATCATTCATTACTATGACAATAAAGTTGTTTGTTTGTTATCGTCTGTTTAATATACAGATTTTTTCTTTTTTTAGTAAATCGAATTCGATGTATGAAGGTAAATATTTTCCTTTCATGTTCCTACTGAGTATCCAGAAACCGATACAGGATAATAGGTATGTACTTTACCTAAGTCTTTATGGGAAAGGGGGGTAAATGAATACAGATCACTGGATGATAAGGGCTCAGCGCCACCTACGGATAACCTAGAACATCCGCAACATAAGATGAGTCACAAAATGACAACTGCTCGTATTAAAGTATTTGATAGAAACTTGACAAAAATGAAACTTAATGAAAATTTAATCAATATTTTTAATATCATTAAAGTAAAACCGTGGGCAAAAGTAGTTTTGATAAGATATTAAGATAAAAGAACGTACTCAAACAATTCACAGAGAAAACAATATAAAAAGCCGGACTGATGATCATAAATCATTCATTAGATCAACGCTTCGACAGTAATCATCCATTTTGTTTTCTTGAAAAAACTAATATGGATTCCAGTAAATACAACGAAATAACACTCAAAGACTTCAAATGGACAAATGAACCGAAAAACTGGAAAATTATCGATCAAAGTTTAGAAGTAACGACGGATGACAAAACCGATTATTGGGGAGGCACCCTAAACAATTTGTTCAATAATAATGGACACCTTTTTGGTATAGAACTCAAGGAAGATTTTACTTTTACGGTAAGATTTTAATTTACATTTCTGGCTCGAAACGAAACCGCGTTCGATGCTCTGATTGGCCGGCTCTAAGGAACCAACCAATTAGAGCGCCGGACGTGGTCTCGTTTCAAATACTTTTAACGTAAAACAAATTCATACTAAGGCCTTTGAATATAGATCGAGTTAAATGAAATCTGGCAGATCCTCTGAACGTTGCACAACATATTTAAAGGATAAACACTTTAGCAAAGCAAAGTCCAAAAGCTTTAAAGCTGATTGTGACCAATGTCAGTTATTCTTTTTAGCCACTCCCTTTAAACTGTCAAACACCGAGCGGTCACCGGTGACCGCTCGGTGTTTGACATTCAATTGTTATTGTTCTTCAATTCTGTCTATAACTCGGAACAATAACTAAAGCAGTCTATAATGACGGTACTCAACGAGTTAATCTCTGAAGCGATAGGCCAAGGACATAGAACATATTAGGTACAATATTATAATATCCACCTGTTATCAGTTACATTACAATTTTCGTTTCAATTATTTTTAACTAGTCGGTAATATTCGAAAACCTGAAAATATTTTGTCCGACTTGTCAATCAAACCTAAGATCACTATATCACTAAGATCACGATCAGCGAGATAACTTTTCTTATCGATTAGGTACATTATTACATCACTATCTATTGTGAATCTCGACGCCATTATCTATTAAGCCACGTCACGCGTTGACACGTTGCAATTATTGCGTGTTCCAGGTTTGCGTGGAAGCAGACTTTACTCACTTGTATGACTAAGCTGGTCTCATGATATACTTCGATGACAAACATTGGCTGAAGGCTGGCATCGAGTACAATGATGGACAACCAATGGCTGCCAGTGTGTTAACCAATGAGCTCTCTGATTGGGGCACAGGTAGGAAAAGAACTTTTGTAAACCTATTGACATTAATGACGGTGCTTAACCATTGGGTAATAATTTTCGGCAGTTTGTGATTTTTTTATTATTTTTCAGGCGTGTTTACTGGCAATCCGCGCAAGTTCTACCTGCGAATGTCAAGGAAGGGCGACGTGGCGTGTGTGAAGTACTCGACAGACAACGAGCTGTGGACGCTGCTCCGACTGTGCCCGCTGCCGCTGTGTGCGCGCGGCCCGTGTGTCGTGGGACCCATGTGCTGCACGCCCACCAGACAAGGGCTGCACGTAACTTTCAGTAACATCTCCATTACTGTCCCCGGCGACGATATATTGCATTCGAATTGACTTGATTAATTTAAGAAATATATTTTAATCATTATTAATGTAGGTACTATATTCGATAATTAATTATTTAAATAAATGTAAGGCGTAAATCTTTCGTTATTAACTGTGAATTTTTTATTAAACTGTTAAACTAAATCCCGTTTTCTCTTGTTCACATAAGATTTTCAGGATTGTTTTCTATCATAAGAACCTTCTCCTGGCAATAATAAAGAGAACAAAAAATAAACCAGCCAAATCGGTCCAGCCATTCTCAAGCTATTGCGTGACAACGAGAAACGGGTTTCATTTATATATATAAATAGATAGATTAAAGAAGATAACGTCGAAAATATGCGTACAAAACACGAAAAGAATAAAACAAAAATGTTATAAAATATTGATATTTATTTCAACGGTATACAATCCGTGATAATTCTCACAATAGATATCTACAATATTCCTAACTAAGGAATGTACGGACATAACACAAGTAACACAACAGTTTTTATATTATTATTTCAACGTTGTATTGCGATCAACACAAAAATATCCTGGCCCAAAGTTGCCCAGTAAAAACACAGTAATTTTAAAGACCCATGTGCTGCACACCCACTAGACAAGGGCTGCAAGTAAAATTCAGTAACATAAAAATAACCGTGCCAGCGGATGATATACTGCATTCCAACTAAAATAAATTATAATATTTTTTAACAATTTGTTCTATTTATTAAACCAATACCTTAATTGTCTGTGAAGCATACACAAGCATCGTTGATTAGTTATAGAAAATACCAACAGTTATAACTTGCTAACAGGCAGTTCTTGTTCCCTGATTATCGTTAGTCGACTTAAGAGCAACGATGGGTGACGATTGAACTACCGGCGACATACTATTTCTTTTTTTGAGGGCGGAAAATTATCCAGTCACTTCAGACTTATCCCACTTTAGTCATGGGTGAGGCGAGAGGGTGTGTCAGACTCTTATGCCCTAATCCTTAAACGCCACTCGATTTTAAATCGCGCTAAAGTATAGTTCTGTCGCTACAAATTCTTTATAAAATAACAGAGACGGCACAATATTTAAGTACAACTTAAAATTGTACAGTATTGTGTAATTGTAACAGTAGCCTTTCGGTATTCGGGTGTTACCGAGTAAAACCCACCACATTCCTACTCTTCGAGTTTTTTTGAGGAGGTAAAATCATCCAGTGACTTCTCCCGCCTGGGTGATGCGAGAGGGAGTGTCAGACTCTTACTGACTAAAAACCACCCCGTTCCTTCTCCTGCACTTCGAGCCGGAGCCCCGGAAACCTGTTAAGTCTTCCGCGGGTCTGTATCGGCATCAGCCCTATTGGGCCCCATCTGTGGTGGTCTGATGGCTACTTGAAAGGCGCGTGCGAAACGCTCGGGTCTGGTTCTGATCGCGGCGAGTCACCCGTGCTCGCCGCCGGGAGGCCCGTGCTTACGGTGGCCGGAGATCGTTTCGTGATCGCCGACGCCCGTAGTGTCTCTCGCGATGGCCGGGGCGTGAGGAGGTCCGTTCCCTCACGCGCTCCGCCTCCTCTTTAGCTAGCATGACTACTTCGCAGGAGGAGAAGGCACCCCATCCTACTCTTCGAGCTGGAACTCGAATTCGCTACTCTGCATACACATGAGTACTACAAGTAGATACCTACCTATAAAATGAAAATCAGAATGTTATTATCTCAGCCTGAAGATAATGATGTAACATTTAATCTTTTGTCACAATAAATACCTACTCAGATATGATAGGTCTATTCAGACTTCAATATTGTGATATCATAATTAACACGTTTATATTTACAACGGGTACTTACTGACGTCACATCCTATGTATCTCCTAACTTTATCACGTTGTGTAGTAAAAGTGAGGTTTTTGTTTGTTTACAAAAATAGATTAAATGCCTTAGACACACATACCTAAGTATAGGACAAATCATAGGAATATTAAAAACAGAAATATTATAAAACTTCTTTATTATATGTTTGGGAAAGATGGACACCTAGGATTTTCTACTTTAAGTATTTTCTTTTATGGAGTAGGAGGCAAACGAGCAGACGGAACACCTGATGGTAAGCGATCAACGCCGTCCAAGGACACCCGTAGCACCAGAGGTGCCACAGGTGCGTTGCGGCCGTTTTTTAATAAGGAATACGCACTTTTCCTGAAGGTTTGAAGGTCATATCGGTTTGGAAATATCGCCGACGACAGACGATTCCAGTTTTCCTGTGCAAGGCAAAAGTTTTCGGATAAGTGCACAGTTGTGGCCTGCCAACCATTTATATGATGGGGAAGGAAATGCTGACGTGAGGGTCGATGGAGAAAAGGTGCGGCAGGTATCAGACCAAATAATTACCTTGAACGGAGGAGTATATATAAGTAACAGAGCAGACTACAGTGCTGACCGCATCATGCACATTTTAACACTGTGCCATCACTGACAAACCTATAATTAATTAAAAAACTGCGTTTAAAAAAACCGACTTCAAAAACTAATGACAAACAAAAAGTAAAAACTAAAAAGGAAAAAAATAACTATTAGTGGTCATACGTACTTATAGCTTACACACCCACTGATAGGTAAGAAGTCAGACTATAATTTTTAAAAGTTTCCCTCGGTTTCCCTGGTCTTCCATCATCATGATTCCCTTATCATGGGACCATTCTGGAACTATCTCCTTTCCAACAAAAAAAAAATTTTTCAAAATCGGTTCATAAGCAACGGAGATATCGGCGAACAAACATAAAAAAAAGCATATATACGGTCGAATTGAGAACCTCCTCCTTTTTTTGAAGTCGGTTAAAAAACAAATGCAACATTGTCGGATTAAAAGATCGAACATAACAACCAGTTAACCACACGATTGCTAAACATGATTGATCAGACTGGGAAGGGGGAAAAGGAGGGACAGACTATGTCAATAATTACACCTTTTCTGTTGATGGATGTACGATCCCCTCATTGAAGTTATCAAAACCGCGGACCAAAACTGGTTTGATAAGATAAAAGAACATACACGTAACTACAATCAAAAGAGTAAAACAATATATAAAGCATGAGTTGTGATTGTAAATTATTCACTTGATCGGCACCTGTCAGAAATTAGCTTTTAAATTATTATTTTAAATTATTATCTATCTAAATAAATACAAAATGGACTCAAGTAAATACAACGAAATAAGTCTCAGTGATTTTAAGTGGACGAATGAGCCTAAAAATTGGAAAATTGTCAATCAAAGTCTTGAAGTGACGACTGACGACAAATCTGATTACTGGCAAGGACCTCTAGGTAACCGGGACCATACTACAGGACATCTGTATGGAATTGAACTCAAAGACGACTTTCATTTTGAGGTATTTTTTTTCCGTAATAAGCACTTATTTTACACTAGCTTTTACCCGCGGCTTCGCTTGCGTCACAAAAGGATAAAAGTTGCCTATGTGACATATACCAATACACACAGCGCCATCTATACCAATACTTTTGTTTTTCCTCGGGAATATCAAATTTTTCCGGGTTAAAAAGTACCCTATTATTTAATCCGGACTTCTAACTTTACGTCTGCAAAAATTCAAAGCAATCGGTTTAATAGTTACGGCGTGAAAGTTACAAACAAACCAACTCACTTTCCGATTTATAATATAAGTAAGGATTAAATCGTAAATTATTCAAGGACCTTGCGGAACCTAATGTCTACAGCCATTTGTCGCCTGTTTTCTTCCTTTTTAACCAATTCTCTAAAAAGGAGGAGGTTTTTAATTTCTCTGAGGATCTCAATTCTTTTTTTTGTAATTACTTTATTGTGAATAAAATCATAAGTACTAATTTAATTACTTCTAGCTCTAGTTTAATTACTACTAGTTAAATAGATTTTTATTTAATTTTATTCTTTATTTAGTCATCATCGGGGGTAAGATCGGGGGTAATCGCTGGCTGCTGTTCACTTCCAACCGATGGATCCTGGAAGGGCTGGAAGTCCTATGTTCAGCGGTAGACCATGATAATTATGCTAATATGCCGTGTTTCAGGTTTGTGTAGAAGCAGATTTCTCCCACCTCTACGACCAAGCAGGTCTAATGATATACTTCGATGACAAACATTGGCTGAAGGCTGGCATCGAGTACATGCATGGCGGGCAGCCGATGATTGGCAGCGTCCTAACTAATGAGCGGTCGGATTGGGGCACAGGTATGTGGGACGCAAATATTAATTTAACAATATTTGGCATTAATTTACTGGGTTTTTAAAAAATTCTCAGTGGTAGCATGGAGTCTGGAATTGTGCCCGGTATATGGCAATAGACTCACCCCTATTACATAGGACTCATAACATAAATAGTGAAAAGTGGGTGTTACATTGTACAGTGGCATAATGTGCACCTATGCCTACCTCTTCGGGGGTAAAAGGCGTGGTGATGTTATGTGTGTATTTGGCATTAATCTAGTCTGGTAATCTACTAAATCGTTTCACTTGACATGGCACAAAGCTATAGGCAAATTATGGGATCCAAGCTACCCGCAGTTCCGGGGCTGATTTGGAACTCGAAGCAGGATTTGGAACGATGTGGTTTTTGGTCTTAGTTTTAGAAACTTTCTCTCTCCTCTCGCTAGCTGTACCTACATAGTTAATAAATAAACGATTTTTTTTATGTATTGAATATTTACATGAATTGTCTATAAAAAGCCAAACATAATTAGATGGCATTTACTCATTTTATGAAAACTTTCGTTTAATAACGGTTTTACTTTAAAATGCGATAAGTTTCCAAAGAGGCATTTGTTTAATAGTATGACGTTTTATTTCAGGCGTGTTTACTGGCAATCCGCGCAAGTTCTACCTGCGAATGTCAAGGAAGGGCGACGTGGCGTGTGTGAAGTACTCGACAGACAACGAGCTGTGGACGCTGCTCCGACTGTGCCCGCTGCCGCTGTGTGCGCGCGGCCCGTGTGTCGTGGGACCCATGTGCTGCACGCCCACCAGACAAGGGCTGCACGTAACTTTCAGTAACATCTCCATTACTGTCCCCGGCGACGATATATTGCATTCGAATTGACTTGATTAATTTAAGAAATATATTTTAATCAATATTCATATAGGTACTATATTCGATAATTAATTATTTAAATAAATGTAAGGCGTAAATCTTTCGTTATTAACTGTGTATTTTCTATTAAACTAGCTTCTGCCCGCTACTTCGTATGCGCAATCCCGTTTTCTCTCGTTTCCATAAGATTATCAAGATTTTTTTCTATAATTCTATCATAAGAACCTCCTCCTGACAATAACAAAGAGAACAAAAAATTAATCAGCGAAATCAGTCCAGCCATTCTCAAGTTATGGCGTGACAACGGGAAACGAGTTTCATTTTTATATATATAGATAGATTAAAGAAGAGAATGTCCAAAATATGCATGCAAAACACGAAAAGAATAAAAAGGAATAAAACAAAAATCTTATAAAATATTGATATTTATTTCAACGGTATACAATCCGTGATAATTCTCACATTATCTACAATATTCCTAACTAAGGAATGTACGGACATAACACAAGTAACACAACAGTTTTTATATTATTATTTCAACGTTGTATTGCGATCAACACAAAAATATCCTGGCCCAAAGTTGCCCAGTAAAAACACAGTATTTTTTATTATCTTCCATCACATATCGGGTATACACTTAAAAGTACCAATTACAATTATTATTATCATCTTTGAAAGAATCGACAGACCCTTTAAACAACTCAATGTACTAAAACCTAACCTAAATTAACAACTAAAAATGCTTTTTTACACTAAACTAAACGATTTTCATTTGTATCATTATTATAAAATAGAGTAAAAACAAAACGTGCACAAAAGAAAAAAAGAAACTCCCGCCAAAACAAGATGGCTGCTTCGCAACTGTCAAACTATCAAATGACTTTTCAAAACAAATTCTCGTATTTTGAGATCGAATTTGATCATTCTGCGCCATAATCTTAAAAATAGGCCAACAGCGTAGCGCAGAAATTCTCACTATGGAGTTTAATTTAAACATTAAAATTAATATTAAAATAATTACATGGCGAAACTAAATCTATATCACATTTCATTCATTACAATCGAACGTACAAGCTGTTTGGAAGATGTTGATTCAATATTTATATAGAAATATAAGATAAAAAAGTGCCAACGAAAGAGAGTAGGCAGAAGGTAGGTAAAGGCGAAAGAAAGTGTTTTGTTTTCCCAAAGATGAAAACGAGATGAGAAATAAAATAAAGATGATATAGGTCAGAAGTTCATCAACGTAGATTTTGATCAAACGAACGAACTAAATTGGCATGATGATATAATAGTCCGTAAGTTAGGTAAAGAAAAAATATTAAACACGTATTTTTTTATTTTGTCGTTTAATAACACAATACTTAGATAAAACGAATCAAAGTTTAGGAGTGGGGGCTAAAACGTCATTTCTACGTATAAAATGTAGGTACATAGAAGTGACGTCACGCGACATTTCAAATCAATATATCGTCGAAAGTATTCGTTTCTGTAAGAAAATAAAAAATACGTGTCTAATGATTTAAATTAATCAACAGAAGTAGGACATTAAAATACAAATTAGGCATCTACCCTATTGTAAGAAATTCAGCAGTGGACGGAAGCAGACAGATGATGAATAAATCAAATCAACATCTACCAACAGTAAACAAATAATACAACGCAACAGTAGCTCATATTAAACACATAAATAATTACGACTTATAACATTTTGTATACAAGTAACATTACTACACACAATTCTCAGGTAAGGCCTTCCTGATGCCATGACCAATGAGGTCGAACCACAGAATAAAAATAAATCTATGGTATATTTAGCATAGATCTATGAAGTATTTAAAACAGATAACATTTAATAAATACACAGATCTTTATCAACATAAATTTATAATGGTTTTTAAATATTAAAGAAGTATTTTAATATTTATAGACATTTATTTTCTATTTGTTTTGTACACGAGATATTTCTGAAGTAGACCTATGTGCCTATGGATAATAATTATGTTCACAACAATTTATTTTCAATATTTTTTCATCTCACACTATCTTCTGCCAGCGGTTTCGCCCGCGTTTCTTAGGGATACAAAGTAGCCTATGTGTTATTCCAGACCATACAGACCATGATCTATCCTTGTTCCAAATTTCATCTCGATCCCTGCAGCCATTTTGACGTGAAAGAGTTACAAACAAACAAACAAACAAACAAACACACACACACACACACAGACATGCATCTTCACAAACTTTCGCATTCATAATATTAGTAGGATATAACATGATACACATAAAGTGTATAATATTTTTAATCTGTTCCCTAAAAACAATTACATTTAGAATAATGATGAACGATATTTTCAATTAACTGTGAAAACTGGACGATTGGTAACTGAATCACACATATAAAGAGCGTGTGATACTAAAAAAATGGTTTTTTTTTCATGTCCTTATCAATAAAGAGCCCGGTAAATTTTCACCGAAAATAATTGAAAATATCATCATCAATTACCTAAAAATTCAACAGAAAAAGGCGCATATACCTGTATCAATCAACATTATAAATTCTTTTGAGGTTATAAAAACCATAGACTATATACATCTAAATGTAGCGTTAAGCCTACTTATAAAAATAGTACGCTGTCATTGGCTAACGGCCATTATCGCGTGATATTTCTGCATTCTGATTGGCGGTTAACAATGTTACCATAATAATAATATAACATAGTTTGATTGGTAGCTTAGCTGGGTTGTGGTTCGGGGTCCACGGGTTCGGTTTTTATTGACACTTGCATCGGCGGCGTCGTGGGTAAGGCGGGTGCAATTTTTGACCTCTCCAAGTTGTAAATCTGAAAAAGATAATGTTAAATTAGAATTAGATACATTTCATCTATTAGTAAATGCTCGAAGATAAGAAATGGGGCTAGAATTTACCATAAACAACCTTTCTATCTGTACGATCAAAAAGCGAAGGAATATACGTCTGTGTCTGACCAAAGATCTAATCTTAGAGTTCTGCGTTTTAAGGTGATAAACGTAACCTTCAAACTCAGTGACATGCTATTGAAGAATCCTTACTAATATTATAAATCTGAAAGTGAGTTTGTTTGATTGTTCCACCTTCACGCCGTAACTACTCAACCGATTGCTTTGAATTTTTGCAGACGTAAAGTTAGAAGTCCAGATTAAATAATAGGGTACTTTTTATCCCGGAAAAATTTGATATTCCCGAGGAAAAACAAAAGTATTGGTATAGATGGCGCTGTGTGTATTGGTATATGTCACATAGGCTACTTTTTATTCTTTTGTGACGCGAGCGAAGCCGCGGGTAAAAGCCAGTGTATAATAATTATAACTACAAAAATTCAGATATTGAGTATTAACCTTCATAAACATCGGAGTGGAGAGCTGTGCGACGCTGGTGACGTGGCTGTAGGAGTCCTCCTCACAGGGAGCCTCACACACCTTCAACTTCGGCAGGCGTTTCCTTGATGTCAGCTCCTCATCAGAATCTGAGGGCGGCGGCCTAATCTGTGGACACGACAATAAAGACATTAATTACAATTTCGTCACAGAGCTATAAAACGACAATTTTACGCGTCAATATCAGCGTGCAATACTGCTCGCGTAGTAAGTGAAGTTATCGGAAGCCCAATTCTCCCCCAACCTCGAATTCTTTTTTTATATTTGATGTGCCGACGTTTGATCACCATCTCGCCTGGTGGTAAGCTATGATGCGGTCTACGATGGAGCACGTCGGCCCATAAGCAACCTACTCAATCGGGCCTGGAAGACACCCAGGTTATACCCTTCAGGAAACATAGACTCTGGCAAAGAATTCCACTCCTTACCAGTACGCACAAGGAAGCTTGATGCGAAGCGCTTCGTGCTCTAAACTCTTAAACACGAGGAGCCGATTGCTGGCCATAAGGTGATCGGTTTGCTCAATATTATTATTGTAAGGAAGTGTATGTTTACCTTTCTAGGACGGCCAGGTCCCCGCTTCTTTGTTGGCACCGGCAGAGGTGATGGTGAGCGAGCCTAGAATAGAAGAAACAGCAAATAAATATACAACATGTTCCAAAATACACTAAAAAAGTTTAACTCACAATTTACTTTTAATAATATTAAATACACCAATGAACACAAGACAAAATTCAAGTTTGGAGCAGCAATAAATAAAAAGACGTTACAAAACTTACCCTCCGTTTCCGAACAGGTCGGCTACCATCAGCAGACCTAGTAGTCATAGCCAGTTTGGTCTCCGGACTCTTTTGTGTACTCGTGGACACATTGCTTTCGTCTTTAGACAGTATGTTGCTCAATCTGTCTTTCAAGAACGAATCTTCAGCCACTTTGAGAGCTTCAAAACATTTGTGACCTTGAAGTGCGTATCGGATTATTTTAAGAACTTCAATCCTGCACAATAACCTTGTGTCATCGTTCATTTTTTTGAACAAAGGTATTAAAGAATTCATGAATAAGCGATCGTCATCAAAATGGTCTTCTGGGAGTATAGAGTTGGCGTCTATTTTGATTTCTAACGAGTTTGTCTTATCTATACAATCTGCTTGGTTACATTTGTCTTGTGTCTCTGGTCTTTCATCTGGTTTAGTTTTAAGGTCTAATGGTTTTTCCATGGTCTCGTTCTTTATTTTCGGCATGTCTTCTGGCGGTGGATGCTGCGGCGAATTTGAGATCTCTGAGAATGACTCATACTTATCCTGTGAATATCTGGGTTTCCTGAAATATGAAAAAATAAGTTATAAAGAAAGAGTTATAAGATTTATCTTCGTTGCACTTAGAGAAGTCGTATAATCAGACCCGATACACTAAGAATGCCCTGATGAGATATTTTAAAATATTCTTTAATTTAAAAAGATCAAGGAGGTCATGACTTCACGAGTTCAGATCATTAGATTTAGAGTTCCAATCCTCGGTCAAAATATTACTGGGCTTTTCAATTTTAAATAAAATCAACGTAGTACATGGTTTATAATTCCAAACTTCTCTCTAATTGCACAATCAATCAGGTAAAAAGGTTTCTCAGTTCTTTCTTAGGCTTTGGCAAAATTTTCACTGATATTTTTTTAAAGAAAATGTGTACTCACTTGTTCTGCAAAGCTTTGAGTAAGAACGACATCTGGTGATGATACTGGTATCGTCTGCTTCCAGGTGGACACTGTTCGGGCAACACACACTTCCCTTGTCTGTACGTCTTTGTGTACGAGTCGCGGATGGATCGCCATCTTTTCTGTACCTCTTTACCTGGGGACAAGAGATTGGAAGGGTTAGTTAAAAATAATTAATTTAATTTCTTCTAAAAAATGTCTAAATCTTGTTGATTAAGTGGACACAAGTTGTTTACACTCCTAGTCACGAATCAATTTTTTTTGATATTTTGATAATATTCCATAGAGTCGTGCATTAAGTTTTGTATTTCTTACTTAAAAATATAATGTGGATTAGACGCCATTACACAGTTTCTAAGTATTGCATCAAGTGCGACCATTTGTAATCTAATATATTCCATGTACATTAACAAATATATTTAAATACAAGATACGTGTGGATAGCGTGTACGGCATAACATTAAAGTCCAGAAAAGAAGTCCAGACATTTTTACACGATATGACAGATCATATCACCACATAGTAATTGATCAGCTTCGCCGATTGGCAATAGATGAACAAAAATCCATACCGGATTACATAGTAATTCCTAATTCTATTTCCGATTTCGATTAATGATAATATCGAATAAATGCCTCGTTGGCCGAGTGGTCGTAAGTGCGACTGCCGGACAAGGGGTCTCGGGTTCGATTCCCGGGTCGGGCAAAGTATTACTGGGTTTTTAAATATTCTCAGTAGTAGCACGGAGTCTGGAATTGTGCCCTGTATATGGCAATAGGCTCACCCCCTATTACATGGGACTCATAACATAAATAGTGAAAAGTGGGTGTTACATTGTATAGTGGTATAATGTGCACCTCTGCCTATCCCTTCGGGGATAAAAAGGCGTGATGTTATGTTATGTTATCGAATAAATAATAAATTATAAAAGACATTGTTAATAAGCCCACGTAGTGGACAAAACCAGATGTAAATAAAAACAATTGCCATTTATCGGCCCATCAATTGAGGAAGAGGCGAGTGATTTGATAAATTTTATTGTAAACAATTGAAGGTCAGATGGTAAAATATTATTTATTGAAATTGGAAAATATAAAAACAATTTATTACGAGGAATTATATCCGTGCAAAGTCGGAGCGAATTTCTAGAATATCAATACACAATAAAAAGTAAAAAGGGAGGAGGACCTTTCAGTTTTTCCCGCAAAAAATCAATACAAGTTTAAAAGTATCCTAAGAACGAGAAAAACAGTTAAGACAGCTAACAATAACGATAATTCGATAAGGTAAAACATTTAAAAGTCAGAAAGTAAGCGAGGTCGGCGGTTGCCCGGACGAGTCAAGTTGAAGGCCACAGATAAACATATTATGAACGTACTCCGCAACGATATTGTTCTGTATGACGCTATTGACACGGTGAGTACTTGTTTTTCTTTAAACGCTATAAGAAAATTATAAGGAGTTCCCAATGGGTGACGTATTGGGACCAATATTGACCATGAAGCAAGTTTTCTTTAAGTAGTTTTTTCAAGTCTGGCCTTCAATACTTCTTGAAGGTTGTAAGCAGGAATACTAGTATTTATTATAATAGTAGTCGCACCTGCTAATACCAATCGATCAGGCCCGTGTAATAGTGGCAATGTAATTGTTGAAAATGAATCATTCGATATCTATTTTCGATGGTTTTCGATGAACAAGACAAGTTTCAAAGAACCTATTAGAAGTAATGAGCGTGAAGTACATTTAAATACTTGAATATAAAGTTATGTATGTATTCGACATACATTATATTTTAGACGGTGAGTTGCTAAGATATCATACTGTAAAATCTTACGAACCGAGATAATTAACATTGATGAGGCAAATAACAAAAAAAACATTATTTTAACGTTCCTAATTATTTCCTTTGCAAATAAATACTAACAGGTAACCAACTAAAACCGTCCATAACTCACGTTGGTCCACCAAAATATTTAAAATCTATACAAATTATACGGATGATTGAAAAAAAAAGTCACACGCAACGACGAATTTTCCTGTCGATGGAACCGGCCGCCATTTTAGACTCCGAATTCAAATTTTAATATCTAACAGTTGTCAGTACTGCACGCAGTGGGTGCAACATAATATAGCAAGCAGGTGCGTAGTGTTGGCTTTAGCTATCGGTTACCTATCGCACGATTGATATAGGTGCGTACTTATCTATTATTGAAGTATGGTGATAAAATAAAATCGGTTTTCATTCGATTATAACGAAAATAGTTGCGTTTTACGATGCTTTGTGTTAAAGAACGGGCGTGAAGTTTGACCTTGGTTGATCGTTGTTATTCAGTAACACAGTAACACTGGACTAAGTCTTGATAGGAAAATATACTTCTATCTAAAATATATATCTGTTTACTCGGGTCTTGAAGACACCCAAGTCATATTTGTCAGGGAACACAGATTTCGATTTTCATATTTGATGGGCCGAATTGTGACTATCTCGCCTGGTGGTAGCAATTGTACTCTACTGTCATACATAACACAGCTTTACACACTTTTATCATTCTTCTGCAAGATAATTAATAATTAATTACAGCTACACGACTTAATAAAGAAAATTAATAGTAAATTACTTTAATTAGATGATACTCGACGTTTATTTAGGTCACTCGATTTTATTGTTTTGTAAACGCAGCACCATTTTGAAATTCAATTGTTGCAACATTTTATTTTA